TCTAAGTTTCACTGAGTTAACACGGCTATGGATGACATGTAAAAGGTTAGTCTTTTTGTGCTCCAGCGTTGTATGCATGCACAAAATTTCCGTAGGTCCAATAATATGCATGGTGTCTAAGTCATAAGTCAGTGCCTCACCAGCAATGAACCTCACTGCACGTCACTGAAAAATACTGTGTTCAAATGGAACACATGTTTACAGTAGGAAGTAAAAACAGTCATAATCAATAAATTAGAATATGCTTTTTGATGAGGTCTGTTTATAAGATTCATCAGTTTGCCATATTAATGTGATGTAATACGCCAATCTTATCAACTGTAAGCTGAAAATTATAATTAACAGAAATAAAGGCCTAACAACTGATGTTATTGCAAATTAAATTAATTTATGCAATGTATTTTACTTAGTGAATCAAACTACTGAAATAAATTAACTGTTCAATATTACTCACATTTGTTTACTATGGCTATACATTTGGTGAGGAACTCTGATCTTTTAGAAATGTTTCCCATCAGAAGTCGTTTACTAAGTGACATTTGGACCAAAAAAAACAAAAAACAAATCTGCCTGGAGCCGCAAAAATAAAAAGCCTTAAATAAGGTTTATAATAAAGGCAAAACACGCTTTAAGTATATATTACCCATAGGCGTAAATCCCGGGGGTCCAGAACCCCTGACCCTCCAAATCTTAGAAAAGTCTAGAATTGTCCCCCCCCAAAGAAATCATGAAAGAAACCTTTTTATTTAAACAATATCAATATAAAAAGGCCATAGAAACAAAGACCGAAGTAAATTTGCCATTCATCTAAGAAAAAAATAAGAATTTTTCGGTCCTCCCTTCCCACACACTTTTGTTAGAATAGCGGTTCTCAACGTGGGCGGTACCGCCCCCCGGGTGGCGTTCAGAGGATGGCAGGGGGCGCTGGTGGAAATTTTTTTACAAAAGGGGGGCGCTGGGATTCCTTTGAGGGGCGTTTGTTCGAAGGTAAATGTTGTGTCTTTACTCCAACATAGTATATTTAAAAAAAAGAAAGATTCAACTCGAAGGCAAGATGAACGTGACTACTTTACTGAGCTTCACTTTTGTCTCAACGTTAACACATATCAATACACTGGCGGATAACCTCTAGGTAACTCAGTAGCTGGGGGAGTGGTTCTGCTGAAGAAAATAGATCCACTTTACTTTATATACTACACTCTTCCCCTTTTAGATTAATGCTAAATAACTCGAATAACACATAATGCCAATGCATGAAACACAATTTGTCATTCAGTTGACAAATATTGAAACTTTTTTTTTTTTAAGTCCAAAAGTCCCATAAGAGAAACTCATAAATCCAATCTTTTAGGGGGTGCCCTGAGTCGTTCAGGGTTACGCCTGGGAACCTGTGGAGTGCTCCCGGTGGGAGGCACTTCCTCTGCAACTGTAGGTGTTACTGTACTGAGTTCAGAGTTGGTCTCAGGATCTGGTGGACGTGCTGGTTGCTCCGATGTCTTTGGTTGAGCATTCAGCAGTTGATCCACATGACATCTCCAGATATGCTCTCCTGTGTCCACCTCGTACATCAGGGGGCCGCTCCTAGTGGTTATCTTTCCAGGCGTCCACTTTTCCCCTCGGTAATCACGTGCTAGGACCTGCTGTCCCACATCGAAGCTCCTTGGCGGTTCACCCGAAAAGCTACTGAACTGTTTGTTCTGCACTTCTCTCCTCAGATTTGGCTTCAGAAGGTCAATGTGAGATCTGAGCTGTCTGTTCATAAACAACATTGCAGGTGTCTGATTAGTTGTTGCATGGACAGAATTGCGGTACACCAAGAGGAAATTGTAAATTTTGTGTTGAATAGAGATGTCTTCGTTTATCATTGCTTTTATGGACTTTTTGAATATTTGTACGAACCGTTCTGCTAACCCGTTTGTTGCCGGATGGTGAGGTGCTGACTTGAAATGCTTGATACCATTCTTTTTCATGAAGTCTTGGAATTCTTCAGAAGTATACTGCGAGCCATTGTCACTCACAATTTGCTCAGGCAGCCCATTCCTGGCGAAGATGGTTCTCAGGAAAGAGATAGTCTTTTCTGATGTTGTTGATTTCATTGGGACTACTTCTGGTCATTTAGAGTGAGCGTCCACAGTTATGAGAAACATAGAGTTCATGAACGGACCAGCAAAATCAATGTGCACTCTCTGCCATGGTGCAGACGGCCATTCCCACGGGTGTAGAGGAGCCTGTGGTGGTGCGTTTTGAACGCTCAGGCATCCTGGGCAGGTTTTGGTGATGTCCTCAATCTGTTTATCTATCCCTGGCCACCATACGTAGCTACGGGCGAGACTTTTCATCTTCACCATACCTACGTGAGCCTCATGCAGACTGTCCAACACTCTGGTGCGAAGCTTGGAGGGCACTACCACACGTGATCCACACATCAAGGTTCCCTGGCAGACTGACAGCTGATCACGTCTTGCTGAAAACTCAGGGAAGCATGGATTCTCATGGGCAGGCCAGCCTTGTACTGTGATGTCGTACACCTTGGAAAGTGTTGAGTCATTCCGCGTTTTGTATCATGGCATTTGTAGCTACAAATGCCATGATACAAATGCCAGTTGGCAGCTGGTCTACCAGTGCTGTGTAGAACATTTCTGCTGGGTCACCTTTTGATGGTGGTTTCTCCACAGATGTTAACAGTGGAGGTGTAACAAACCATCAGCATTGCAGTGTTGTTTAGTCACCTTGAACTCAGTGTCATACGAGTGTGCTCCTAAGAACAGGACCCATTGCTGTAGTCGCGCAGCTGACATCACTGGGACTCCTTTTCGTGGATTGAATATTGACACTAGGGGCTGATGATCAGTCACTTCGGCCATAGAGGTAATGGTGGAACTTTTTGATACCCCATACTAGGCTAAGGGCCTCCCTGTCTAGCTGTGCATAATTGCGTTCGGTACTTGACAGGGACCTTGAAGCGAATGCAATTGGGCGTTCAAGTCCATCATCCATCATGTGCGACAGGACTGCGCTGATGCCATACGGGGATGCGTCACATGCTAGGCGGATGGGTCTGGATGGATCATAGTGGGTAAGTAGCTCGTCAGATGTTATTAGTCTTTTTGTTTCTGTGAATGCCTTTTCACATTTTTCTGACCACTGCCATTTCACTCCTGTCTGTAGCAGCGCATTTAGCGGGCTGGACAATAAATCAATAACAACCATGACAATATCGCAATAGACACGTGATCAGTATCAATAGATAATCTGTCTTGTAGAATATTTACTGTACTCCAATCCAGAACTGCACAGAATTCTTGAAGGCAGAAGAAAGACTTTAGCTGCTCAACCTCTTTAAAGTTTAGCCACTGTGCCTAATAAATGCTTAAAAATAAAAAAGAACAGCATTGAGTGAAAACTGGCTAAAACAGAAAAGGCCATGACACAAGTTTGGCAGAATTTCAGATATTTAAAACAAACAACTAATCAATAATTATCTATGTCTGCTGCTATGACACGTCTCATATGTCATAGCAGCAGATATATATCAATAATTATTGAGATATATATATATATATATATATATATTGTTTTAAATATCTGAAATGAATGAGATTTAAATGAGATTTTCTGCCACATCGTCCAGCTCTACTAACTAACATTTCTTGCATTCTCTTTGTTGATCTACCATCTTGTAGAAGTTTCCAACCTTTTCTATTGTTTCAGCTGACAGCTGTCTAGTTGAAACTATATTTACTGTCAATGAATCAATTATATCAGCTCACTAAGTCCTATGAACACCCCCTTTGCAGAACATTGATGTGCAGGTATTTATGTTAGAACAAAAATTACATATTTTTCTCTATTTAGTCTAAAAAAACATCAGTACCATTTCACTCTAGCTGGTAAATGAATAAAGGTAAAATAAAAGGATAAAAGAACACTAGATTTTCACCAGGGTTGTTAGTCAAGTTGTGCAGTTTATTTTTAACATCCCCATTTTTAGAATGACTATTTTAGAAATGCAACTTAAATATAGTTTAAATTAATTCTTCACTCTGACTCTCCTTGCCACACCTCAACCACCAACTTGCAGTCACTACGTGACAGTGATTCCATTTGTTTCTGAATTAAGGGGGCTCAACACCTAATAAACAAAATATGTGCCTAATTTCCTTTTGGTTGAGCCCCCCATTATCTATCATATGTCACAGACTTTTCAGCAAGAACAAATTTGATTATACAGCAAGTGTGAAAACTGGGTATCGACTAAAATATGTCACTTTACTCCAGACTTCAGGGAGTCAACACATCTGGATATGTTTTCTGACTTGACTGTTGATAGCTTTTATCAGTAGGGCTTAATATTATGGATTACCCATAATTCAAAATGTAACTTAACCTCAAAGAAAAACAAGGAGTCCAGCAAGCCTGAATATTTCTTTTATCAAGTAATATCAGAGGAGGAATTTTACAAAGAGTTTCCAGGACCGACTCACCAGGAAGAGATACTGCTCGTCGCTGTCAACAGTCACTGAGAGGCTGAGGGATGTGCTTTGAACCTGATGAGGACTGCGGTACAGGTCCAGGAAAGAGGTGGCATAAAACACACCATAAACCTGCAAACACATGCACACTCAAAGAAATAAGACATAGTTGTCCCTTCATGTTACTGAGGTGATCTAATAGTATTGGTTTGGATCAAGAACGTTTCCAACTACTTTAGTTTACAAGTACCGTATTTTCCACACTATAAGGCGCACCAGATTATAAGGCGCACTCTCAATTATGGCGTCCATTTCTGTATTTAATCCATACATAAGGCACACCGGATAAGACGCATGCTAAAACATACAGTCAACAAAAAAAAAGGTAACGGAAAAAAAACAGTAAGTTTAGTTGAACTTTACTCGACTATGTAACAATACACTCAAGTTATTTTTTATTCTTCTTCCACAAATCCATCGAAGTCCTCCTCTTCTGTATCTGAATTGAACAGCTGGGTAATTTCGCCATCAAACATGCCAGGTCCCCTTTCATCATTGTTGGAGTCAATCTCGTTGCCAGGTGGCTGTTTAGCAATGATGCCGGCTTTCGCAAAAGCTCGGATGAAAGTTAAGGCAGATACATTAGCTCAGGCATCCACAATCCATTCACACATGGTGGCATAACTCGCCCGGCGCTGCCTCCCCGTCTTAGTAAACGTGTGTTTGCAGTTTGTCCTCCATCGCTCCCACGCCGCTCTCAACTTCTTTTTGAACGCCCTGTTTACACCAATGTCCAGCGGTTGGAGTTCTTTTGTTAATCCTCCCGGAATGACGGCAAACTCCGAATTGGTTTGCTTCACTTCCTTTTTCACAGTAGCAGTGAGATGGGCACGCATGGAGTTGCAGATGAACAGGGACGGTGATGTGTGGAAAAACCTATCTGGTTTTTACCGGAGGCGTAAGCTGCAGAACTCTGACAACAATTCTCTGATTGGTTTATTGCTGTGTACTTTACGTATTACGTAATGTCCTCTGATTGGTTAATCGCTGCCAGCGTACATACTGTACATTTTACATCTCTGTGTCAGGGACAGATTTTGGAATTCAGTGCCCTTATAAGGCGCACTGGATTGTAAGGCGCACTGCTGATTTTTGAGAAAATGTAAGGCTTTTAGGTGCGTCTTATAGTCCGGAAAATACGGTATGTTTTTAAAATGAAATTGTAATAAACCAATTATTCTCTTTAGGATAGTGATTCAACGTGGGAAAGAAATGCACATTTGTCAGTTTTTTTTCTTCTTCATACCTGCGTGACCTGAGCATTGAATTACAGACTTTTGGCTTCAGGCTTGGGATGTGGTAATGAACACTTTGGATTTACTACAGTTGGTTTGGTTAAAGAAGGACAGGGAGAAAGAGAGAAAAAGATAGATTGATAGACAGAGAGAGAGTCA